ATATAGTAATAGGGGTTGGAAAGCGTGGGAGCCCACATTCGGGTTCCTCGTGGCTTTACCCAGCAGGTCCGCATAGAGGATGATCAGGACCACGGGCCTGAGTGCAGGTGTCTGAGATGGTCTGCACTTGGCTGTGCTGGGGGAGGAGGTCTTTTGCTTCACCCCTTGGCGTCTCTATAAAAACCCTGGACCAGAGACAATCGGGGCCCGTTGGAATAGGTTCCAGGCCCTCTCGAGGCTATCCTTTATTTTCTATCTGTTTATCTCTGCAATAAGTCCTTCTATCTAATATTTCCTGCTGATGGCACTCAAGAAAACTCTGGGGAACTGTGGAGCTGGTGGGTAAACACCCCGCAGGAAAGATGGCTCAGCAGTTAGGAGCACTTGTTGCTCTTGCAGAGGACCTGGATTCGATTCCCAGCACCCACAAGGTGGCTCACAACCATCCGTAACTCCAGTTCCAGAGGATGTGACACTCTCTTCTGACTTCCATGGGCACTAGGCACTCATGTGGTGCATGTATACACATGCAGGGAAAATATTCATGCATATAAAATAAATCTAGGAAAAATTAATACAATAACTAGGGTTTGGGGAGATGGTCGACGGATAAAGTTCTTGTCATGCAAGCATGAGGGTTGGAGTTTGTACCCCCAGCACCCACAGAAAAGCTGGGTAGGCACAGCAGCCACTGGGAACCCCAGCACTTAGGAGGTAAAGACAAGGGCAAACTGGCTAGCTAGACTATCCAGAACTGCTGAGCTTATTCAGCAAGAGAACCCACCTCAATAAATAAATATGTGATCAAGGAAGACAGTCAAGGTCGACTGCAGACCTTCACACAAGCACACCTACATGCATGTGCACCTGCAAATACATGTGTGCCTACACACAGGCAAACACACATATATGTTGTGGTGGTTTGAATGAGAATGACCCCATAAGCTCTGATGTTTGAATGCTTGGTCTCCAGTTGATGGAACTGTTTGGGAAGGTTAGGAGGTGTGGCCTTGTTGGAGGAGGTGTGTCACTGGGGTGGGCTTTGAAATTTCAAAGGATTCTTGCTGTTCCCAGTTCTCTCTCTCTCTCTCTCTCTCTCTCTCTCTCTCTCTCTCTCTCTCTGTCTCTCTCTCTCTCTCTCCCTCTCCCTCTCCCTCTCCCTCTCTCTCCTGCTACTTGTAAATCAAGATCTGAGCTCTCAGCTGCTCTGCCATGATGAACTCTGACCCTCTGGAACCATGAGCCCAATTAAACACTTGCTTGTAAGTTGCCTTGGTAACTAAGACATAAGTGCATCATACTCTCTCACTCTCACACCCCTCCACGGAAGAGACAACAAAAGCCTTCAAAGAGTAAACAGGACACAAATGAGGAAGCAGGATCCACAGAAGATACAAGGAGGAGTGCCAGGCACAGCACACATCCTCAATGTCTTGAGAAGAATCAATACTCACAGGCCCGTGCTCTGACCTCATGTGATACGCAAGCCCAGCCTTTGACCTGTATGGTTTTCCACAGTGGTGACATTTCAGGGTCAACTTCTCCAGCTCAGCTGCCTCTTTGTCACATTTTCTAACATAGTACAGATATCCCATGATGCTGGTGAAGGTACTGGAGCAACTCTGAGCACAGGGAAGAAGTCTATGTTAGATTCATACATGTTTCACATGATCCCTCAATTTCTCAGAAATCATCACGCACCACAAACCACAAAAAGACAGTGAGACTACAAGATACTCACCTGCAATTCCCATTGGCACAACCCTCCTTCTCCTAGGCAACCCTGTCTATGAGCCATATTGTCAATCAGTTCACTGATCACTGAGAAAGTATAACCACATACCTACTCTGTGTCAGAGCTTCCTTCTTGGATTGTGACCCAATTCCACCCCAGTATCAACTAGCCAGCAACATCCAGTTCATCACAGTATGAGCTCATGGGAATCATCTTCATCATGATAAAGGAAGAATAGTAAAGAAGCCCCTTTGTGGGGCTGCTGAGATGGCTGTAATCCCAGCACGGGGAAGGCTGAGGGCAGAGGAATGCAAAAGTTCAAGTTCAGTCTGGGCTACATAGTCACTTCTGATCAGCCTAAGCCACAGGGTGAAACCCTGTCTCAAACAAAAGCCAAGTGTGTGGTGGCACAGGTATGTAATCCAAGCACTCAGGAGGCAGATGCAGGATGATTGCAAGTTACAGGCCAGCCTAGGCTTCACACTGAGTTTCCAGATACTGAGACCCTACCTCAAAACTGTATTTTTTCCTATTACATTGGTCTGTGTTGCTATGCTTACCTGTCTCGTTGTTTCCCATGCCTGTATGCCCAACCTACTACACAGCCGCCACAGAGTGGACATTTAAGAAATGTTATCTAAATGAAGGAATTCATCAGGGAGATCCAAGATGAACAGGAATCCTTTCTTTTGTATTAGCCATGGAAAAACTTAGCACATTGACTACACAAAATAATAAATCAGTGCCACAATTAAGTAGCTTGAAAATATAAAGGTTCCTTACAGCTGTTTTCATTTTCCCTCCCAAGTTCGTCAAATTAATTATGAGCACACATCTGATGTGGAGGAGGGGGGTTGCAGGACTACCACTAACCGAATCACATATTCCATTTTTACTGTAATGTGCATTTTTACTGCAAGCCAGGTTTTCCTCCCCCACACTAGGATTATACCTGCACTGTCCAATCCAGGAGCCACTAGCTACAGATGGCTACTGAAATTTAAGTCAATTAAAATTAAATAAAATTTATAATTCGGTTTTTCAGTCGCACTAGCCACATCTCAAGTGCCCCAAAACCATACCTGGCTGGTGGCTATGATGCTCCAAAGTGCAGACACAAAACATCTTTCTCAGCACTGTCTACACAATTTCAAAAATGTCCCCAGAAAACCTCACTTACTTCTTAGCTCCCACGATCCTGGTGCTCCTCTGTGGCTTAAAGGCTGTGGGTCCCGGGGTCTAGCAAATCACAAGCACACGAGTGAGTGCCAGGGACCTCTGAACCTCATCCACAAAGAGATGACTCCCCCTTGTGCCTAGACGGGAAGCTCTCGCGGGCAACTCCTTCAAATGGAAGGAAGGTGGGTGACACTTGCTAGGAAACGTGTGCCATGCTATATTTCTACAGTGTGAAGGCGGGCTGACAATACCAGAGCTTCCATCTTTGCCCATTCTCAAAGCCCTATCCTAGAGGAAGGATTGAAAACGGAGACGGAAAAAAAAATTGTGAGACCAAAATGCCTCCATCTTAGAAATAAGGCCCAAGCTTTCTCCATTTTAGGTTCAGGCCTTGAGTTACTGGAACCAGTGGACCCAGATTCCAGGAATTAGAAAGTGCAAAGTACAGAGTCACAAGGTATTCATTTGGTGATGACTGTTTAACCACGAATGTTCCAACTCTGCTTTCCAGAGTAACTGTCTGACCACAGAAATGTCCCCACCTGAGGGCAGCCAATGAGAAATGGTGATGGGCAGCCACCTAGAAGTGAGCCAATCAGAATTGTACCTGTACTAGCACCTCTAACTGATGTAACCTCGTGGTTTTTACCTTTAAAAACTGAGTTTGCAGAGGGGCGGGAACCTTCTCCGGCCTCCATTGTGTTGGATGGCTTGATGAAGTCCCTGCCTAGGCTTGTATTGCTCCCCAATAAAGCCTTGCTTTTGCATTCCGGTATGCTCATCTTTGGTGGTCTCTCTGGGGATTGTGATCTGGGCACAAAAATAAAAGGAACGGGAGGAACTGGGGATGCTGAAGGAATATAAACTAATTACAATCTGTTCGAGGAACTGAGTCCGAGGATATGGGGAACAGGCAAAAATAAAAATGGGAGAGGAAAGGGGGACAAGTGGTTCTGATATAAAAGGGTGGGGCCTATGATGGGCTTGGATAAAAAACTCCGAGTTCAGGACAAAAGCAAGGGACCGCCTGTTCTGGGCTCGACAGTTCTATCTCCAAAGTATAATGTCACACCAAGAAACTCATTGTGGTGAGTGCACCGAGTCTGGAAGACATCACTTCCCCTCGACGCCCATTTCACCCAAGGGCTCTGGCCAGACCAGCGCCATTTCTGCTCTCCTTGCCTCTTCCGACTGTGGTCTCGGCTGCAACTAGCCCTGTTCTGAACATCTACTACCAACCACCTAGCGGCCCTCCAAGGGGGCTGTGGCGGGAGAAAGTCACCTGACGACTCATCTCCGGCTTCTTTTGAGACCCCGCCCCCATCACAACAGGAGGATTAGGGAGGTCATTGGGGCCAGAGGGTTGGAGCAAGTGGGCGGAGTCTGAAGATTTAAGGGGTCCTCATGAACCCCAACCATGGAGTTCTGGCTGTTTGCCCCACCCACCCCCAAGTGATGTTACGAATGCAAATAGAGTTCGATTATTGCCCCTTTATTGATCTTAAATTACAGATCCATTCTCACTCCCCTCCCACATAGCTCTTTCATTGCCAAGGGTATAGGCAGTGGCTGAGCAGAAAGGGCAGCTAGGTGAAGATTTGCAGGCTATAATTAATAGGGACAGGTCTCTCCTTATCTACTAACTTCATGTCTCCAAACTTGTCCAGCTTTTGGATTTTTTTAGTGGGGTCCCTAGGAGGTCCCTAGGAGTTTTTAAGTCTTGAAGTCTTTATAGACAAGCTATGTCTTCCAAAAGAACTATGTCTTTTCCTGCCGGAGGGATTAAAAGTGGTTCTCTCAGAGAGACTACCATGGCTTCTTTCTGAAGGGCTGCCCCAAGTCCTCTGGATGGAACTGAGATGGCTCCTTTTTGAGCGACTGTGTTGGCTCCTCCCAGAAAGACTGAGTCGACCCTTTGGGGAGGGACTGTGTCCTCTCCTCTCTCCGGGACTAAGAGACCTCCTTAAGGGCTTCTCCCAGGACTGGGTCAGCTCCTCCCCGAGGGGCTGTGACCTCTCCCCTTAAAGAGATTGGGATGGTTCAGGTCAGAGAGACTTTGAAGGGTTCTCACAGAGGGACTACTGTCCTGTCTCTGGGAGGGACTGCAATGACTCCTCTCAGAGAGATGTCTAAGGGTTCTGTCAGAGGAACTGCTATCCCTTCTCCGAGAAGGACTGCATTATCTCCTCTCAGAGATGTCCATGAGTTCTCTCCCAAAGGATGTGATTGGTCTTTTCAAAAGGCTTATTACGAAGGGCCCTCTCCCGGAAGAAGCCATGTTGTTCTTCCGTGTGTGTGTGTGTGTGTGTGTGTGTGTGTGTGTGTGTGTGTGTGTGTGTGTGTGTGTGTTTAAAGTGACTCTGCAGGGTTCTCTTCAAAAGGTTGTCAGGTTCCATTCTCTCTTGGGCCTGAAATCTACCTCCTACTTGAGAACATTCTTAGACTCAGGACAGGTGATTTCATCACTGTAGTTTTTCTTTGCTCTGCTGTTGACATTTTGAACTATACTCAAAGGTTGTATGATTGAATTAACTTGGATAGTGGTATCTCTTTCAGAAGCCATGGTCTCCAATTGCAAAGGTCTGGGTTGGAGAGAGCTCACTTGTTTTGACTGTTGAGTTTGTCTACACTGGTCACCTGTTCCCTGCAATCTGTCCTCTTGCTTAGGGTTCACACCTGTTGACCTTTGCTGGGCAACTGGTGTGCTGGCTCCTTTGCTATCTCCTGCTAAACAATAATCCTTGGCTTTTTGTTTGGGGTGCAAGTATTTTCTTGACCACAAATTGCCTGGCCTTGTCCTGTCCTCAGGCTTCTGTCCATTTCTATGTGCTATTTGGAATGCCTGCCTTAGGCCCTGGAAAAGCAGATGGTAGAACTTGGGCTGAGAGGATTTCTTAGCTTGTGTCTTCGAAGAAGCAGTGCTTGTTTGAACGGTTTCAATACTCTTGCTTCTTGATGGACACATCATTCTAAAAGGACTCTCTTCTGGGGTTCCACTATTTTTGTAGAGCTTTGTGTTTTGTGTCCCTTGGTGATTTTCTTCATTGGATATTTGAAGCCAAAGGTCTTTTTGAGGCTTGATTTTGACCATTTTTCTTCCTGATTACTTTCAAAGCCACTCTTGGATACAGAGTGAACCTGACAGAATTCATGGTGCTCAGAGTCTTCAGTGTCTGTCTTGCTGACCACACCATGGCTGTCCCATTGCTTTTTTCTAATGAGCACTTGTACAGAAGCTGGAGCCTGGGAAGATCTGGCCTGAAAATCTCTTGGAGTGGTTGGACTCTTGGAAGCTGGAGGATAGATTTTAGCTTTCCTTCGTGATGGTGATGTAGTGCTCTTCCATGCATCTGCTCTGTTTCTTCCATGATACTTTGAGACCTGAGGTCTTTTCCCAGTTCTCAATCTAAAACCAAGATGCGACCGAATCTCACCCTGGCCATCAGGGAAGTTTAAAAGGTGGATCTGTGGGTAGACGAGAAGATATGGACCAAGAGCATACTGTAACTTATGTCAGCAATTAAATCCTGAATATTGGCCACACTATAAGCAGATGGGATATTTCAGGACAAGTCCTGATGAGAAAGGTGGAGGGACATTGTGGGGTACTTGACTTTCTATGGTTTTTGCTGCTGTTTTTAGCTGTAGATCTTTTAGTAGATGGTGCTGTTCTGAGATATCCCTCTTGGCCTGGGAAAGACAACTTGCTTTGAGGGAGTGGTGAGAGTCAGAAGGCCTTGTCTGTGATTCACTCTGTGAGTCTTTACTCTGATCACTGGAAACAGCGTCTTCCCTATTGTAAAGTATCTTGAGAGAAGACTCCGGCTTCATTAAGGCAGGAAACTGAGCCCTTTTACATGAGACAGACACGTTCTGAGTGACTTCCTGGAATATACCACTGAGTTTTGAGTTTGTTTTCTTTATTCCCAATCTAGTACCACAGTATTGTATTATGGAAGATGTGGATCCATGTGTCCACATCTTTAAGGGCATTCTTTTCTCATGACCATGGCATAAAATATGTCTCTGAATATAGTTTTTGACCACTGAAATCTGTGAAATTGTCTTAGGACCCCTCTCTAGTAGACACTGGGAAAATGCCATCAGTTCAACTGGAACCCAAAAAAAATTTTGAATAGATTGACATCATGGCTCCTTCTATTAAAAATGGCTGAGAACAAAGCTTCCTTTCCATAGTGTTCCCAGAACATTTCCCAGCATCAGCATATTGGAGAGATATTTCCTAGGGAGTTGCTGCCTACGGACATGACTTTGACAGACACTCTGTTGTCTACCCAGGAAAGAACAGATAGGATGTCTTCGAGCCTCTCTCTAGTTCTGCCTGAAACTCCGAGGGTAGTCATCTCAGTGGATATGGAGAATAGCCCTGGAGTGAATCCCCAAATTCCTCCATTTGCTTCTTTTCAGTTGCTTCCTCAGTTAGGGCATCCACTTCCCAGATGTCAGGATATAGGATCCCACAGTGTTCCCGATATCAGAGGGAAGCACCAAGGGAAGGGCTGATGAACGGAACATAATAGTGTCTGTATAGGACTCTGCAGATGGTAAAATACCAACAGCCAAGTTCTTCATAGCCAAGACTCTTGATACCTCTGGCATTTCAGAACCCTGAAAGCGCCCTCACTCAGTTGTTTTGACAGAACTTGAAATAAATGGGATTGAAGGGCTGGGTATGAACCCAGAGAAGTAATTCTGTGCTTGTGACTTTTCTGATGTTATCATTTCTGAGTCTCTATCCTCACACACTCATCTTTGATTCAAATCCTCAATTTCCATTACTTTAGGGGATTCTGTTTTGATCCCTAGAGATTTTTCAGCTTGAAGCCTTTGCTAATGAGTTAATACTGGAGGTTCCTCAAGTGGAGATGTTTGCTGTAAGATTAATTCTGCAAAATTCTCTTGAATATTTGCCCTTGGAGTTCATTCCATAGGTTTTACTATGTCTTGAAGATGGGAATAAATTCACACCATTCTTTAGTTTTACTTTAATGCTTGATTTGTGGCAACTCCTATTGGTTCTATAGCCTGGAGACTTGGTCCTGGAGCCAGCTCTTCAGATTTTACAATCAGAAGCAGGGGTTTGGGGACTGTTAGACCCCAAAGTTTAGGGTCTCGAGTGGGTGCCCCAAGAACCCAGACTCCGATCCAGTTGATGCAACAGCAAGAGGTGTTTATTGTTGCAGCTGTACAGTCGGGAAAACTCAGCTTCAGAGCGCAAGAGTCGCGCCTATTTTAATCACACAGGTACTTTTAAAGGAAAAACCCATGAAAGCCGTAAGATTACAATTCCCATACAATTTTTGTTTCACAAGATCATGGTCTGATCACAGAGTGGGTACAGTCACGTCCGAATGTACATTCTTCCTGAAACCTCGAGGTGGGTATCAGGGCGGGAGTGGAGTTTACACAAAGGTCACAGTGGTCCTTCCTGGAACACCTGCAACTATCCCAGTCACAGTTGAGCGCATCTCTTAACAGAAATCTTTTTACATTGTTACATTGTGGCAGGGGTGGTTGAATAATGGCTGAGTCAGATTGCCCTTGGAACTAGTTTTCTTTTTAGTTCCTTATTCTCCTGGGACTTGGGGGGTGTAAGCCTAAAGGGTTTAGGGTCTTTCAGGGACCAATACAGTCTTTATAACTTGAAAGCGCGACAACTCTATTCTTTCTAAAATTTCATGTGTTGGTGCTGTGATTAATGTCTTAGATTGCACATTTTGTAGCCAAAGACTTAAGCAAATTCTGCCATATCACATTGTGCAATTTGGAAGTCAAATCAGCATGTTTTGACCCTTGAGAGGTTGGCTCTGGTATCATCACAGACT